GCGTGAGTACATACAGCGTGCAAGGGAAGTCCTCTGCTTTCCAGTCTTTCTGATCGGCCATCTTGCTGTGCTCGTGGTCTTTGTCGGCTCTGCAACGTCTGTGGCGCTGAATGAATATGTGTTCGAGTATGGTATACCTAGTCTTGTTCTCTGACAACCTTCGATGTCGATGTCGGCACGATGCGCGTTCAAGGATGCTAGCCTGGGCCCGTCTTCGCGATGAGGCTCAAATCGCGAAATGTGGGGGAGGGGTGGATGCCACCCCCATGCGGTAAGGCGCGTCAGGTGGAGCTATGACCCGCATGCCGCCAGCCATGCCAGGTACAATTGGAGAGAGCGTCATACATCATCATTGCTAGCTGAGATGTGCAATCGCGTCATGCGTCATTTGCTTTTGCATGCCTCGGTCTCTCCTAGACTTTTGCTCCCTTACACCCATCCACCTTGACTTCAACTATCAAATCGACCCAATTGACACATACACAACCTCACCTTCAACCCTCACCACCTACGTAATAGACAGCTCGAAGCTCGACGAATCAACCCATCATGTTCCGTAACACCATGATCCGGCCCACAAGGACCGTACGCCTCACCGCCCCAACCGCACGGCCTTTCTCCCTCTCGACCTCAAGACCCGTCGAGCAATACCCCAACAACCTAAGCACCAACTCAAAGACCAAGACGGACAAGTACGACAGCGATAGCCCACACGCGGTACAAGAGAAGGTCAAACAGGGCGACACACACAATGTTCAGGAGAGCAATGCAAAGGCAGGCATAGAGTGAGTGGTTTCCAGCAACATACATACGGGGATGGAAGGCAATGAACGTGGCTTTATCGCAACATACGGCTAATACCATGAAGCAGCGCACAAAAAGAGGGCAGCGGTGGTCATGCGACTGAAGGAAAGGACTCGGCTGGTGGGAAGGAGAAGGCGAAGAAAGAGTTCCCCGAGGCGCCCGACCCAGCTATTGGTATGCAGGATGAGAGGGGTGGACGGGGTGGTTAAGTGTGCCTAGGCGTGCCGGGGTACGATGTAGTCTTCTAGCGTGTGTGCCTTCGCTTGTCAATAAGTCTGCTCATCTGTCCCGGGAAATGCTCTAGTATAAGGTCAATCGCTCCTGCGGCCTTGCTCGAACATCTCGCGGGCCAGATGAGTAGATGTGTTGACACACGTAGGTGCATACAAAGAAGCTGTATTGAAGGACGAGACTAGAACGAAGGCAGAGCGTGTTGCTCGAACTCTAGGAATCAACATAATACGAAGAGATATTGCCAAGTCTGCGGATCCTACCATGGTGGCTTGTTGGTGTGAAGTATCGGATAACTACAAAATGCATCACTACCATTCAGAATCGGATGCTGATACTGATCCGGCGATCCTCGCCGTACTATCCGCTGTATGTTTTGTCGCTTCGCACATTCCAAACAGTTCGCAAGGGACGAATAAAGGAAAGTCCATGCGGCCTACCCAACGACCTACCAGACGATACGAACATGAAAGAAACCTCGACTAACCAACACAGGAAACACGATTGCAACTCCATCATTCACTGTAGGTAGATAAATACTTGGATCATCGTGCCTGTAGAAATAGTCCAGCACAGCGACCCATCAGCTCCATCAATCCACACTCACTCTTCTCTATACCACCCAACTCCACTCTATTCCACCGCAGAAAAAGCACTCAACCAGTTACCAACACCATGAAATTTCCAACCCTCTTCCTCGTAGCCCTCACCACCGTCGCCACCGCCAACCCCATCATCTCCCTCGAACTAGCAGAACGCCAAATCATGACCGACAGCCCAACAAACGTCTGTCACACATGCGCCCTCGTCATCGATCTCTACACCAAGGTACGTGCTTCTCCTTATACCAACTCCTAACCATCAATGTCACTCCTTTCTTGTAACCCAAACGTTTCGAGACCCTGCCACTTACGCACCCACTCCACAACTCCAAACAACCCATTCTGACAATTTCCTCCCATAGGTGAACCACTGCCTCCCCAAGGAAGTAAGAAAGAAGACAGGTGCTTGTTACGATGAACAGGTGTGCAAGGCTGTTAAGAAGAATCTGTTGTGCAAGGGCGCTTGCGGGTACAGTTGTATGGGGGTGTGATGGGTTGGCTGTGGTACAGAGAGTGGTACGTGTGCGTCCGGAGTAGCTTTTAGGGGACGCGTGAGGGACTTGTTTGTTAAGCTTGTTGTGATGGTTGGATGAGATTGGATGGGGCGGATGGGTATCTAGAGCGGGTGGTTGTGACAGTGATGAGGATGTGATGGATATGTATTGACGGGTTGTTTGTTGGTTTCTTCCGCTCGCTTGGACATAGCTTTCTTGCTTCCTTTTATTTACGCTCCCTGATCTACAAGCTCAATTCCCTTCATATCCCCCATCTAGTTCCAGTCTCCAAGAACCGCCATCGTGAGCATGCCTCGTCTCGCATCCTTGACAACCCTGTTCTTCCTCCTTGTTACGACAATCGTCGCGCACCCACTCGCATTAACCCCTCCTCTCGACCAGCCAATCCCCAATCCCCCATCTTTCCCACCTATTTACTACAAAGAGCCGGCCGCGAATGCCCCTAGGCATGAGGCGCACACATGCAGATACCATACCGGGTACAACTGCTAGAGCGAATCTCAAAGTATTTCGATGCCAGGTAAGGATACAGCATGACGCAGTGGAGAGGCAATGAAGAGAAATGAGCTCATGTCAGTATAGTGATGTTGCGAAGGTGCTGTTCGACGTACTTGAGAGTGTGAGGACAAATTAGCAGGCACGAATTGTGGTGCATGGATGAGAGCGCTCGTTGGTGGGGCACAGACCTGGACTATAAAATGTCGGATCTTTACCTGACACTGATTTTTCTGCTTGACTATCGAAGGATTACGGGAATGGAAAGATTGCCAACTGATGTCTCTTTCTGTTGTAGAGCCAGCAACTTCCGCCACGATTCAGGCTTATAACATTCGCTGTATATGATGAAAGTCTGCACGTACTCCCTGTGTATCAAGATACCGATCGTCCTGCATAACACCCACCCTTCACTCCTGCAGTACCTTGGTGACCCTCAGATTGACGCCGAAGTTGTAGTTCTTGTCAAAAGCCAGACCAAAGTCTCGATCAGGGGTGATGTTCTCAACAGAGGAATCTACAAGCTCTAGATCAAAGTTCTGAACCATGGCTGCGATAGTGAGGTACAACTCCGCGTACGCGAGACTAGAATTCGTTAGTATGGCTTCAACGTACAACATGGCATGACGTCTTACTTGATGCCGAGGCAAGCTCGGCTGCCCTTCGAGAAGGTAACGAGATACTTGTCGAGATATTCCCCGTGGGCTTTGGCTTCGATCCACCGCTCGGGCCGGAAGATATGAGGATCTGGGAATACGTCGGGGTGGTTGTTGAGTAGATACGGGGATGCGCCAATGATGGTCTTAGATAATGTTAGATAAGTACAGCTTCAGAACGAGTGTCATACTTACACCAAATGGGATGAGCAGGTCCTTGTAGGGAATAGGATCAACGACAACGCGCGGAAAGCGGCCTGTGAAGCAACACTGGAAGCGGAGAGACTCGTTGATGACGGCTGTCTAGTCCGTGTTAGTCGTTACGACTGAGTGGGGCAATCGACGACTTACCAGATACGGCAGAGCCTCGAGCTCAGTCAAGGTCGATGTAGAGTGGGACTCCAGCTCCGCTCGCAGCTTCGCCAATATACTCGGATACGTGAGCAAGTAGCACATCGCACAAGTCAGAAATCGAGCTGTAGTATCCACACCAGCGAACAAGATAAGCGTGCCCTCATCCTTCAATCGTTGCAGCGTCTTTTCTTCTTCAGGAACTTTAGAGCTGAGTAGCGCATCAAATATCGTCCTAGGCTTGGCTGGCTCCACTCCTTCTTGGCTTTTCTTCAACGCCTCGATGGAGTATCTCGTGATGCGGTTATCGAAGTCCAACCAGCTGACGATAGACGGGTTAATACGGGTGATCAACCAGGCCGGAATACGCATCAGGACCGCATCCATGGCCGGGAAGAATTTGCGCAGGTTCAAAGTCAACGCTACGCCTTTGACGTCTCGCTGGAGCTCACACGGGAGGCCAGGCTTATCGAGGTCGCCGAAACTCTCCCCGTACGCGTAGTGCGAGATGATGTCAATCGCGAGGCTGCCAAACATGAGATGTCCGATCAGTGTCTCTTCTGTACGATAGGCCTGTTTCATCAGCATGACCAACTTGTCGACTTTTGACTGGACAACATTCTCGAGATCCGAGATAGACTTTTTGGAGAACATATTGGCAATGTAACCCCGACGTTGTCGGTGCAGGCCGTGGTCTTTGGTGGAGACCACAGAAGTAGCTACGGTTTGTGAGAGCTCGGGGTGCTCTGCAGAGGTAGAGGTACAAAGTCAGTATTTATCTCGTACGCACTTGGTACAGTCAAAACTTACTGTTCATCTTCCGTCCAGCGCCTGAGTACACCTCGGTGTAGAAGAATGGGTCATTCAATGAGAGATGGTCCGGATTGACTCGTACCAGAGGGCCTGCGCGCTATCAGCCAATGCTTTTTGTATCAATTGCGTCTCGTCGCTAGTACCTACCATATATCTCATGCATTTGGATGACCTTTTTGAGATACTGCCCACCTTGCAGGACGTCATAGTAAAACTCTGCCAGATATGACGCCGTCGCCCACCACGGACCGGGAAAGCGTGCCAAAGGGTGAAAGAAGACATTGTAGACGATCTTGCTGGACCAGTACGCCAAGGCAATCGCGAACAAGCCTGTGACTATGCTGAGTCGATCAAGCTCCATATTCGAGGCCAATCGACAGTCGTTGTGATCGCGTTAGTGTTTGAGGAGGTAAGGAGGACACACAGAGTGCTTAACGTGCGTGGTCGAAAGAACGGTAGATAAAGATTTTGTGGGTTACACGACAATCACACGGCAAGACTGCGCCACATCCGAAAGTGGAAGGGCCCTCCCTTCACTGCTCCTTGCCAGCCCTGCGTTTGCGTATGCGCACGGCTATTTTCTCCTTCGGTCGCACCTGTCCAAACGCCGACTCTCGCAACTCAGGCATCGCTGCATCGATCAAATCCGGATCGCATAGCTGTATCTCGAACTCTCTCAGTAGGACAGCCATGGTCGCTGCTTGCATGGCTTTGATGTAGTCGCTAGCAAGTCCAAACGCCTGCTTATCGCCGAGTGCAGGGACCAGCAGCTCGAGATCTTGCGCGTCGAATCTCGCCGCATTCATGCTACCGCGGCTCTTTCGCTGACCCTGTATATGTGGAGTGTCTTTATCAGCGACTAAGAAGCGCTCAGCCCAAAACTCCTCCAACGGTTTTTCGACAGTGCGTGGCCGCGCGTTTGCCCACGCTTTCGTGTTCAGGGCGAGATCTTGCGAAAACGAAACTGCGTTGCATCCTTTACGAAGTGTCCACGCGCTGTCAACAGCAACTTCGGCGGTTGGGTTTGTGCAGATGGTGTACTTTGCGAAACGAAGACGACTGACTTCTGCTTGTAAAGACTGGAAGAGGGGTCTAGCTAGCATACCATCCTCATCAGGCGCGGCCGCTTTTGTTGCCTGGGGTTCGGAGACGAATGCAGTGATCTTATCGGCCAAATAGGGTTTACGCAGGATTTCGATCATTGCCCAGATAGCGGAGGGGATCAACTCCACATTCGAGCTACAAGCATGTCAGCACGGCCTTGTGTCCCCCAGATATTATAGCTTCACGGAGTATGCTTACCAGTGCATAACATCCAACATCTCCGCAGTCCTATTCTCAATAGAAAACGGAGCTTTCGCAAACAAATCGTCACGTTCCTGGATGAATTTCGAACCTCTATGCTCGTCCCAGTCTGCGTCGTCGCTGCCAGTCTTTGCAAATTCGGTGCCGCTGTGGCTGGCCCTCAGCCACTTGTTAATGCCCTGGCCTAGTCGGGTCATCGGTTCCTTGTAAGGACCTGGGTTTGGAATTCCTGGTAGTGACATAGTAAACCATGATAATGCCGGTAAAACGCCCTGAATGGCGTCTTCGAATTCCCATAAGTCCTTGGTGAGTCGAGGATACTTCTTGAAAATTTGAGTGCCAAAGAGCGTCCCAATAGAGCACCTCGTAAGAACTTGCTGAAAGAAGGACCAGACGTCTTCTATCTGGGTCCAGCTGCCGACTTGGAACATCTTGTCATTCATATTACGCGAAAGTAAATGCGCATACAAATTAGTCGTGGTGGTCAACGAGCTACCTTCCAGATATTTCCGCGTTATTGCGGCACGCGCACGCTCGATCTCTGCTTTATTCACAGCAGCATCCGCGTACATCTTCTCGACATATTTGGGAAAGCCCAAGGCGACTTCATGAATTCCCCTTCTAGTGATTACTGGATGCTGTTGTTCACATGCTCGTATGGCCTTCTTCATGTGTTCTGGGTCTCGAAGAATGACGAAACCCAAGACGCGGAATGGCGCGAAATTTCCATATTCCTTACTAATGTATGTTAGTAGTCGTCTATTTCACATCACCTCATAGACTTTACATCAGTCTCGCCAAGTACTTCTGCTGTCCCTCGACCGCCAAGCAGAAAGGATGTGTCACTCCTGGAACGAAGTAAGGAACTTTTGGTGGTTCCTTCCCTAACGCAGTGCTCTTCGCGGTTTGGTAGAATAGAGTTGTCGAAACATAGTATGTCAACGCAGGTGCGACAATCAGGAGGACAAGAATGAGGAGCAACATTGCGGGTGTGATGAGGGATGGGATGGGACGAGGTACCTCAGGTGTTACATCAATTAGGTAGGAGCTGGCGAGCGCGCTATCTCAATGGGGTAAAGTCCGGTTTCGCACGCGTCGCGCTAGTCCCCGCAATCCAATGCACATGTCCGCCATGATGGTCATCGCAAACCCACCCAACACTCTCGAAATGGATCGACGCGTGCCAAATGCGAGGTCGAAACAAGGCACTGTCGTTGAACAGAAGCAAAGATTTCTCCAGACCAGGAAACACATTCTATCGCGTCCAATACCGCCATCAGAACGGCTGCGCACTCTTGCGCAAGATGGTGGTATTGAACTCAGTGTCATGAAAGGCGTGCTTGATAAAGGTATACAATGGTCTCACCCACAATATTCTGCATATCGGCACTAACATCTCGCAGTCAACCGCGACCTAAAACAACACTCGCGAAAAGTCTACAGCCGCCAAATGATCGAGCACGTCGTCGAGCAAATAGACATCCTATACTGGGACTCCGGCGCGCAACACGCCGACGACGATAACGAAGACGCGCACACTTCCTCCTCCGCCCCCGAAAACGACGCGCACACCGTCTACCAAAACGACGACCTAACCCTCGACGAGAACATCGCAAAGCTACCAACCACATGGCCCGACCGCGACGCCGAAGTCACACAGGACGAATACCTCTCCTCTGTCTCCCGCCTCCAAGAACTCTCTGCACATCGGCAAACGCTTCAAAACCGGCTTGATACATACCGCACGCTGCTTTCGCTGCTAGAACCGTACCGCAACCCCAAAGAGAATATACAGCCGAATCTGGTGTGGAAGGATGCGCCGCTTGCGTCGGAGCTGGCAAAGACGCGCACGTTGGCGATACGGGTCGCGGCGCGTGTGGAGGAGAAGTTTGGGGATGTGCAGGTTCCTTCTACGGCGGAGGATGAGGAGGATGTTGATATGGAGGGGTTGGATAATGAGGGGAGGCGGAAAGTGGATGCTGTGTTGGCGAGTTGGTAGTATTGGCCGACCTTCCTCAGTTTGGTGTTTGGTGTTTGGATATGATACCCCAGGTTTATCACCTCATGCATTAGCATACAAATTTTGCAAAAGAAATAGGTATCGCGAAGCTATTGATACAGCTAAGACCCACCCCCCACCTTCCCCCTCTCCTCAACAGTCCTCGCCATCTCATCGCCGACCTCCGACTCCATCGCCCTAAACCCCTCAACCACACCCTTCTGATCCCCCACCCCCATCTCCTGACTCATCTTCCACTTGCCCCCCAAATCCATTATCTCAATCTGCACCCCAATAATCGCCTTCTTCAATATCTCAATATAACTCGATGGCGCATCGTCAACCTGCCACGGCTTCTCGTAGCCCATGATCTCTTTCTCGGACTGCATTGACAGGTCTCGAATCTGTTTATCGAGAAAAGTGACTGTGGCGCTGGCTTTTGTGTCGTGGAAAATGGTGGCTCGGCCGTAGACTTGGACAGCGGAGTAGTTCCACGTGGGCACTACTTTTCCGGTTACTGGTTTCGTCTCGGTGTAGAATTTTGGCGTGACGTAGTGGTGGGCTGGGCCGTTGAAGAGGATCATGATGTCGCGTGAGAGGGTCTGGACTGGCTGGTCTGTGTCGGAGTTGGTTTGCGATTTGAGGTGTTCGATCAGGACTTTGGCTTGGGGATTGGCGCGGGCGATGTGGCCGCGCAGGACGCCGAGATGGGTCGAGTCAGCTTTGGGTTCTTCGGTGTCCAGGACCCAGGGGATGTGGCTTGATTGGAGGAAGGGAGATGATCTGGATTCGATGGCTGTGGTGAAGATGCCCAGTGGGTTTGCGCGGATGAATTGATGTAGCTTCGCAATATCTGCCTCGGCGTGAACGGCGCGAAGATACATCGTGGGTAGACTAGATGCTGATGGTCTTATCCAATGTTCACGTGTTGATTGTGTCGGTTCTGTCGAATTTGAATGGTCTTAGGATGTAATTCGTTTGCGGGTTTCGGGCATGGTCTGTCTTGTAGCATCGACATGTCGGGCGTTCTATACGTAGATATGATCGTGCCATAGGGCGCAAGAAGTACATGGCGTCTACAGCGTGTATCCAAAAGACCTAGCCAAAGATTGTTTGATGATACGGAATACGTGAGGGCTAGAGCGCGAAGACGAGAGGACGAAGCGTGTCTATCCGCTCTTTGCCGGTCGAGTATTTAGCTGTAGTACGGGCAACATATCCACGTTGAGAATACTTTCCATCTTGAGAAGCTCAGATAAGTTGGGAGCATTTAGTATGCGATAGCGACGGTCTAAGTCGCGTTGTGTACTCAGCACTGCAACCGATGGAGCTTGCCTAGGTGTGATCCAAGTGACGTCACGCAGCCCTCTCTAGCACTGTACAAAGCGGCACGTTATACGACGTCCTGTCTCTTGTAATGACCGGGGATTTTCGAAACTACTTTATTACTGCAAGTCTGACAGTTCGACCGGGTCTACGAGACCTGAGTACAACGAGCATCGTAGTTGTCAAGAAGCGAAATACCGAGCCGTGTTGTCGGAAATGCTCCGCACAGAAGGTGGGGTCGCGTCTGGATGCGGTAGGTGCAAGCGACTATCCTGATAAACGCAGTACGTATGAGCGTTATCATCGCCCTTTAGTCCGGCGCCAGTATCGGTACAGGTGTCTCTCTGAGTATTAGACTGACTGTATTTCATACCAAACTTCTTTCGTTGCCGCATACAGCGTACGCACATCAACAATGGGTTCTAACTGGGAGCAGCTTGCTGCCGACAAAAGAAAGCGCATTGCCGAATCTATCTCCTCAGACTGGCTGATCCGAACACCTCCGAGCGACGACAGGCTGTTCGCATATCCAAAGGAATCAGGGTTGCTTTCTGCACAAGAAATCGAGATAACCGAATCATCGGCGACTGATCTCGTCGCACAATTAGCGCAGGGCAAGCTGAAATCGGTTGATGTAACGCTTGCGTTTTGTAAGAGAGCTGCTATAGCACAGCAACTGGTGAGATTAGGATTTATGGCAGGTACAGGTGCATTGACTAACGAGTGGTTATAGACGAACTGTGTACATGAGTTCTTCCCCAAAGAGGCTCTTGCACAGGCCCGTGGTCTAGACGAGTATTATGCTAAGCATAACAAGCCCATTGGCCCTCTTCATGGACTTCCCATCTCACTTAAAGATCAGCTGCGGATCAAGGTATGAAGCGGGTCTTTTCTTATTTGTGTGGCTCTACCTGGGTAAGCGCTGAGTTCACAACTGATACGCTCGATCAGGGAAAAGAGACGTCAATGGGTTACGTCTCCTGGCTAGGAAAGTACGACGAAGAAGACTCTGTCCTCACAGCACTTCTCCGCAAGGCCGGTGCCGTCTTCTACGTCAAGACAAGTGTCCCGCAAACATTGATGGTTTGCGAAACCGTCAACAACATAATCGGCAGAACGACAAACCCGCGCAACAAGAATTGGTCGTGCGGAGGCAGTTCAGGTGGTGAAGGAGCTATGATCGGTATCCGTGGAGGCGTTATTGGTGTTGGCACCGACATTGGCGGCTCCATCAGGATTCCATCGGCTTTCAACTTCTTGTATGGAATTCGTCCGAGTCATGGGCGTATGCCGTATGCGAAAATGGCAAACAGTATGGAGGGACAGGAGACTATACACAGTGTCGTTGGACCCATTGCGCACTCGGCAGCCGGTATGTGGATGAACTCAACGCATCATTCGCCAAGAGACTGATTATCCAGACTTGAGGCTCTTCCTTACATCGGTACTCCAACAAGAGCCCTGGAACTACGACTCCAAAGTCGTCCCAATGCCTTGGCGATCGGATCTGGAGGATGCTGTCAAAGCAAAGCTGGGCTCATCTGGCCTTACCATCGGATATTATAACTGTGACGGCAACGTGAGTTTCGTAGAACCATGGCATGATGGCGTTCGCTAAGAGTACAGGTTCTCCCACATCCTCCGGTACTGCGCGGGATTGAGCAGGTAGTTGACGTCTTGAAGCAGAACAAACACAAAGTCGTGCCGTGGACCCCATACAAGCACGACTTTGCCCATGATCTCGCTAATAAGATTTATGGCGCAGATGGTAGCACGGTAAGATCCTAGAAATTGATCTCACGCAGTTCCGCATAGCTAATGGTCCAACAGGATGTGATGAGGGACATCAAAGCTTCCGGGGAGCCGCCAATCCCCAACATCAAAGAACTCCTCAACCCGGATATCCAAAAAGCCGACTTGAACGATGTATGGGATATCCATCTGCAAAAGTGGGACTACCAGATGCAATATCTATCCAAATGGCGAGAGGTCGAGGCCGAACTTGGTTGTGAGCTTGACTGTATAGTCGGCCCCATCAGTCCAACAGCTGCCATCCGACACAACCAGTTCAAGTACTATGGCTATGCGTCTGCCATCAACTTGCTC